ATTTCGCCAGAGTAAATTCCGCAGCGCCCTCTATCGTTAAGCATGGAGCCATCTGTACACATAGCCATCGACCGTGGGTTTAAGTCTGTGGCTCCTTCCCATTCGTTCCTTTTTGTAATTCTTATGGAGAATTTGTTGTCTAAAGAGAGTAGAGGAGTGGTTAAATCTAACTGCCGTAGATTATCCGGTGGAGTTTCAAGTACTTTTGCGTGTCCGAATCTAAGGCATATAGTGCGGTATTGGCCTTCCTAGAGCGGTCTTCAATATCAAGTTTCTTGGTGAGAATAACTCCAAGGTATTTGGGGTAGTTTTAAGAAATAATGGAGTGAGGCTTATAGGCCTGACGTAACATTTGCTTAAATTTGACTACATGTTTTGTGAACTTTTAAAGCGCCCCGACCATCTGGCACCCTTTACCAACTTCAGTGCTTACATGGCGATCAAATTTCATTTCTGTTTCACATTATGCAAGTTGTTGAGATAATAATCCAATTCTCAAGTTATATGCTCGATACTTGCCTGAACCTCTTACACAGTGACTCACGCTGCACTCATTCTATTTGAACTGCTCCTCACTGTTTGTGGGTGATACTCCGTTTGATTTAAAGATTGAAGTTATTATCGGGATTAAAGCTGATTCCCAAACTGTCTAGAGTGAAGTGAATGCCGAGACTCGAGTGCGCTAACTGCGCTCTGGTTGGCAGGAGATTAAGTTCTGCAGCTCCTAGTATCTTCTTCAGCATCAAAGTACTCAGGATAGAGAGTCGCCTTATCTATAAACTTATTCATCAGCATCCCGACTCACAAATCTGACGAGGCTGGACGTTGGTAGCGTTGGTCGGTTCTCTTCGCAGCCGTCTTTTCCAATACTTGCAAGATTTGACCTTTTGTGAATACCTAGTGGATAATGGTGGATTTATCAGGGCCCGAATTTAGGCATTCATAATCAAATGTCTATTCGTTTCGGATGGAATGGAATCGCTATCGAATGTCGCGATCTCAAAATCAATTCGATATTGAATACTGATAAAATTAAGCAAAATCAAGCTAAGTAAGTTCCCCAACCAACGGTATGACAATAAAGAAGTATTTTTATATTGAAATTCTGTTAAGGGCATTATAAACTGAATAACTGCTCTGCTTCGTGATTATTTTCCCTTTGAAATTTCTTCATTCGCCTTGGCTGTTGTTGTTTATGTGTCTGGGGCATTTCGACCTGGGCAAAATTAAAGGAGTGCGGTTGTAACTACGAAGACGATGACGACGACGTGAACGACAATGGCCACATGGCGCGAGCGCACTCACGCGCATGCGTTCTGCCAGACACTGGTGTAAAAAATTACCTGTCGAATGGTAAAGTTCGGTGACTGGTGGCTGGCCACAGGCCAACAGACGCAACACAATGCAGACATGAAATTAAAAAAAAAAAAAACGCTATCGAAGTTGTTTTTCACTGTCTGGCGCGTTAAAATCCTGTGCGCGTGGGGTGAGTGGGGCAGCTGTTTGGCTTGGTTGGTTGATTGGTAAGTAAGTGAAGAATTCGCCGCAAGTATGTAGAGAGCGATTGTATCACCGCAATGCACCGGTCATATATTATGCATGCAGCGAACCTTTTCACTTCAAAGGCCGAGAGACAACAACGGAGCGAAGGTGGAATGCGCGTGCGCATGCGCAACACAGTAGCCGTGTGGACATGCAGGAAAGAAATGCAAAACATTGAAAATGGGCGTTGCAGACGAGACTGCAACAGCGATTACCGCGATTACGACTGTGACTGTGCCTGTGCTTGGGGCGGTGGCGTTGACTGCGGCTGTAGTATTGGCTGCTGCAGTGGGGACTGCGGTTATGGCTGTGACCGCGACGAATGGACAAATGGTCGAAGAACGCGTGGCGGAACAGTGGGGAATGCGACGGCAATGAATGCTATGTCTACGAAGTGGGCATGCAACCGGTCGTCGGAATCGACGGACCGACGGACCCGCCGATCGTTGTGCCTGCACAGTTTGTGGATGTCGCTGCGGTTGTTTATGCGTTGCAACAACGGCAACGATGTGGTAATAACAACTGCATACAAGCGCGCATTCGCAACACATTTGCACGCTCAAACACACACACACACACACATGCATACCTACGAATTTGAATATCTACGGAAAACATTGTTGCGGACTCCAATCACCTTTGGGCCAGACATTATTTTGACGGGAAAATGTGTTGTTCGCATTAAGGTGCAACATTTCGCAAATGAGCGCACGGCGCAACGCGACGCGACGTGACGCTTGCAGCCGTCACTTCGTTACCTTCACTTAAGGCCTATATAAATGTAAACACACAATCACACATACATATATGTACATACCCTTCTTTATATATAAATATGTGTGTTTATGGTACGCTACGCAACCTTGCCAGACAGACAGACAGGAACAGACAAAACAGACCGGTGTACGGGCTTGCTATGTATGTATCGTACAAGTCCACGTGAAAAACAATTTGAATGATTGAGGTTTATTAATTTTTATTATTATTTGTGTTGTTGCAGCTGCACGCACGCAGATAAATAGCACTTTTGCGCTTGTTGTTTTTGTACGTCATACAGACTGTTTTTTTTTTTTATCTTTGCATTCTTTTGCCCTCAGCGAGTTGAAAACAAAATTGTTTTGGTCAAGTTGCTGGTTTTTTGCTGTTCTAGTTTGGCTCAAGGAATGCAACATTGTATGCTTAAAGATGCAATCGTGTGCCAGTGTCTTACGTGTCTCCACATAACTGCTATTGTTATTAATGATGGATTCCCCATTTGCGATGCAGATACATGTCTGTGCTGATAAGGCTATAAAGTAATTTGCTTTCACACATACACACATACACACATACATACATATTATGTTAAAACATTTTGCAAATTACTTCATAAACTTAACTCAGCTGTTGCAGCTATAATCCTTAGTATAGGACTCGTTGATTTGTTGGATGCTCACTTGCGGTAGTGCAAGTACACTTTGGTTTAGCATAAAAGTCATAGTAGCCCATTGAGTATGCCGTCAAGAGCCACTTTCAACTACCCGGGGTTCCATAAACCATAAGAGATTCCCGATGTACCATTGGCTATTCTACATCAAGTTCCACTGCCGCTAACTTTGCCACGAAACTGAAGAAGCCCGATCACAAGTTTGTGAGTCGCTTGGACTACAACCCTGGGCATCGACATGGGTATTGGCAAATGGATTCCTTCTTGCAGTCCTCACGAAAAAAACTGCTACAGAGGCAAGTTGTAGGCAAAAGCCATTATTGGAGCTTTATTGATGGAGCACAATGTCCTTGGTATAGACGAACTCCTTTTCCTACTGAACGACCACGTTTTCGGTTTCGGTTTCGAGACGATCTGTTGGTCTGCGTAACAGGGCATGCATTACACAAAGATGGTGTGACACCAAAGGATTATCTAAAAGTACTTCTGGTTCCGTTTACCCGCAGAATAATGTTATCCATGACGGAATTCATTCTAGGCGGCAGTAGAATTGGTCTTTCAAATAAAGCAATATACCCGGGGGTGGGGGGCTGGATAAGACACTCACATGGGACACACATTTAGATGCAACCGCCAACAAGGCGAAGAGAGCATTCTTCGCTTGCGCGCGACGTTTTAGAAAAACTTGGGGCCCCTCCCGCAAAGGGACCTGCTGGCCATTTAACACGGTTCTGAAGCCGATGGTCACCTATGCGTCGGCATAACAGGTGCTATGCGCACCCGTCCAACTGATGCACTCAGTGATGCACTCTTGTGAGCATACACCCTTCCCAATCGAAATTGAGAGGTCGACACTGAGAATCCTAACTGCTTCCGAATCAAAAACCGGAGATGAAGTTTGGTACACGGATCAAAACTTGAAGATGGAAATACTGGAGCTGGTATATTTGGGCGCCGAATTTGAATAAATCGATACCCACTATTTTCCATGCGGAGATGCGTGCGATAGAGATCTGTGGCAGGGAATGCCTCAGAAGTCCATGAGATGGACGAAGAAATGCCAGAAAACATCCTCTGTGAATGTGTGATAATAATACTAAATTGTTTATTTTACCATTTTTCTATACTAACGATTTTTATGGGTGCCGCATCGCATTTTTTTGGGTCTTTGAGGGGCCAATAAAAAATAGTTAATGTTAGAAAATGGTTAAATAAACAATCGGGTATTATTTTCGGTAGTCGACTCATGAGGAAGAGGTGAGAACATCAAAATTACTCAAATTTACTTTTTTTTGGACTACCCTAAAGCATATACAATATAACTGTAAGAATAAAAATTGTAAAATTAAATAATTTTTAAGCAAAAAACAAAACCGACTTCAATTCTCATATAAAAATTTAACATTATCGTTAATCTCGTCATGATCCAATGATCGGACTTAAACCAAATTAGAATGGGACCACCTGTGAGGTAACACCTTTCCTTTAAAAAAAAAAGATTTATAGAAATTGGTTAATGTGGTCCACAGCTATGCGGTAACATACATAAAAATAAAAAATAAAAAGTATTCTGACGAATTGATAACCCGCCTCCTTTTTGTGAAGTCGGCTAAAAAGAAATTTGGAAATAAAATTTGCAAAGTAACTTTTCTCGAAAAGCCCTGTATGTATAATTTTCTGTTTTGAATTTTTAGGGACTTCCAAGATTTCAATATCCGCCAACCTTTGATTTAATCTTGGTTCAGGCGCATCGTAAGATGTTTAAAAAAGCAAAAAATAAGTCAATCTAATATTTCTAATTTCAGATTCTGATTCTACGGAAAAAATCCTATAAGAATCAGGGCTCCCTCTAATCACCGTTCCGCAGACATTTTTTGAAATTTTGTTGACCTTTGTTGGTTATTACCCGTGCGATATGCATTGACCTTATTGAAAGTTTCGCACATCATTATAAAATATACGTTTGAATATTTGTTTGATCTTGAAAATATCAATAACATTATTCCGATTTTCTGTTACTTTGTTTTTGCAGCCGATCGTCCAACTTGCAATGAAATAAACTGCGGTCACAAACACACCTGCCTCGTGGATTTGCTAACTCATGAGCCGCGCTGTGTAACTTGTAGTTATAAATGTGCAAGGAAACGACGACCAACGGTGAGTGAGTTTTGTTTATTTTTGTTGTTTTCTTTTTATAAAATTCTTATTTAAATTTTGATTGTCTTTCTATGTTCATCTACCCGCAGTCGCTGCGTTTTGAGGAGGGCAAAATTTGTGGAGTAAACAATCATACATATAATTCGTGGTGTGAACTGCGACGAGATTCTTGCAATACTGGCTTTTTCATCGATATTAAGTCGCCAGGGGAATGCAACTAGAATAGCACAATTATTAAAACGTAGAAGAAGAAAAATTAAAGAAAATAAAAACGAAAACGAAAACGAAAAAAAAAATAAAGTGGTAAAAGAACTAATACAAAAATAAATCAAATACAGGGGCATAACAGTTATAAGTTTTATCGGAAAAACGTTGCTCCATAACCGTTATTAGACGAGAAATATTTTTTTATTTCGCCGATAAGAGTTATAACCCAACATTTACTTTTTACGTTGCCTGATAACTGTTATGTAGGAAAAATATGTTTTCCGTCGCTAAAAGAGTTATTTCCCAACATTTATTTTTTAAGTTGCTTGATAACAGTTATTACCCAACGTTTATTTTTATGTTGTCTGGTAACAGTTATTTCACTCCTCCTCTTTTATTTTCATCATATTTATCTTCTTCTCCATCTTCGTTTTCGCAAATATTCTTATCTTACAACCTTTATCAGACAAACTATAAAATAAACGTTGGGCAATAACTGTTATCAAACAACGGTAAAATAACGTTGGGTCATAACTATTATCGGCGTAATAAAAAATATTTTTCACCTAATAACTGTTTTGAAACAACGTTTTCATTAAATTTCAGAATTCGGGTAACGTTTTCAATTTGTAAATTCGAGATAACAGTTATTTTTGGTCCCTGATCAAATATGAAAAAATTAAAATACAATAATCCATAAAAAGGAATTCTTAGAAAATATGTGTGTTAGTCGTAAATTTCCTACATATGTATGTATATGCACACTCACACAACCTTAGTTAGTCTTCCACTAAGCATATTTAAAGAAATTAATTACATGGATTAGTAAATATTGTAATACATATTGGCTGACTTTGAAACCACTGTTATTAATATTTTTATGTATGTACATATGTATGTATATGTGTATATGTATTGTTTGCTCATAGTTCATAAAAATGCTACATACATACATAAGTTCCCTTCTAACCCAGGCTTATTCGCATATTAGTCCTTAGATGCTTCCAAAGATATTTATACATACATACATACATATTCCGAACTTACCCTTAGTAATTTTAGCAAGTAGAAAACATAATAATTTATTTATCAGATGTAGTATACGAACATAACTCATACTTATCGATGCTATGATTACATACATAAATTAGCCAATTTAGAGATTTAACAACTCATAATTGATAATATTAAAATTTATACTTACACACTTGCATACATACATACATAGTTCATACATACATACATACATACATACCTAAACACACATTTTAAGCGCATGTATACTCGTGTATGTAGTATGAATGTATATGCATACATGCGCATAAACATAATCGTGCATATTCGAAATAAATAGTAAAAACATATCTTAAGAGGCTTTAAAATATATACTTTATACATACAAAACACATGTATGTAGTTATCTATTTAAATTAAAATACTTAATTGCAAACACAAGCGTGTGCAGACAGACAGACATACATACATGTATGTATATTATGTTAGTATAAACGAATTAGTAGTTTAATGAAATCCGTAGTCTATAAATAAATGAATTAACTTATTGTCATTATTATTGATATCTTTAATGTCGAACAAAGTTAAATTATTATTATTGATGCTATTATACAATCGAATCGGAATATACATATATTATACAGGGTGTCCTAGACCACCCGTCCACCCCCTCTAAAATGGAGGAATTTTTTTTTGTTTTAAACCGCAAGAATTTTAACGAATAAATCGGGGACGCTCTATCTTTTGGTGGTACTATCGACTACCGGTTTCGACCGGAAGTGGGTTAAACTGCCCGGAAGTAAATTTTTTTTTCAAATTAGATATGCATGGTTTTAGTACTGATTCGGATTCTAAGGATAAATTCAATTTCTAAAAGGCTTTCGAACTTTAACTCGTCCTGGAAGTTGCATGTTTTTGTCCACAGAATTTGAGCCTTTAGTAAAAATATACATTCATGTGTAATTAAAAAAAAATGAACTTCCGGTTAGTTTTACCCACTTCCGGTCCAAACCGGAAACAAGTTTCAGGCAAAATGTATGTAATTTTGTGTAGTAGTCCAGGAGAAAATTTTCGTATTTGTATCCCTAGAATCCGAATCTGCACTAAAATAATGCATATCCAATTTGAGTAAATTTACTTCCGGTCACTTTAACCCACTTCCGGTCGGAAGTTGATAATACCGCCGAAGGATAGAGCATCCGCGATTTAGAAGGTAAAATTTTTGCCATTTTCAATAAGACATTTATCTCTATTTTTTAGGTGGTGGACTAGGTGGACTAAGACACCCTGTATATACATAAATGCACACAATACTTACATAAATACAAACATACATACATGCATACGGATACGATCGAGCATATTGTATTATCGAATGTATTTATTTACAATTAAATTTTATTTAACCGACTGATAGATTAACCGCAAAAATTAGCATGAAATTTAATTGATTGTTGAAAGTTGTAATTTAAATTGAAATAAAGAAAGAAAAACGTATAAATATTTAAATAAATATACATACATACATACTTAACTAACCCATGTCTCTCTCTATGTGCGAATATTAAAGAAATTCAAATAAAGTAACTAAAAATTTAAGACTTTCGCATTGTCCTATTTAATGAGT